AAATAAAGTGTGTGAATGCTAGTAGTGAGGGTTGGGGGAGAGGGCAGCAATGCAGCAATGAGAAGAGTGAGAGAAGTTGGAAGCGATGGAGAATAAAGCAGTGGGGAAGGTAGAGAGAGCTGGTGGAAAAGTGATGCATTAACAGAGGGCAAGGAAAGAGACAGGGAAATGACTGCACTGATGACGAGTGAGAGACAGGTGTGAATGGGAGTCTGTTTACAGTGGCATGCACAGTAAAGCATCTCATTCCCACAGTGCATTTAGTACCTCTAGAGCCACTGCAGCAACACACACACCCCAACACACAGTAAATGACTAGTGTTACTTGGCCTTTTAGCAAAGTGGGCAAACTTTGGAACAGCAGCCTAGAAAGTTTTACATTAAGGCAACTGGTGAATGGTAAAATTAAATGGATTTTAGACTAAAGTAAAGTATTTCACTACGTAATAAGTATGTTGCTTCTAAATTTCTCCCAAAAGCCACTGTGTGGATACTCAATGAAAGATGTGTGTGCATCTAACAGGTGCTAAATGGCCGTGTTTGTCTCAGTTTGATGCATGAGTGCCCTTAATAGTTGCTCTTTGTTTAAGATGCTGAACAGGCCTGGTTCCAAAAGAGAGAAAGAAAAGTCTTATAAGCAGTAGCATCCTATGCAGGTCTTCTAGTCTCTGCTCTTCAGATGCAGTAGTTGAGTTTGAACCACACCTTCCATTAATTTAACAAGATTTGGACCACTGTCTTTGATTTCATTTGGTCTTGGTCTCTTTTTTTAGCATCTAATGTTAAATAATTCTGTAATTTGCATGTTCTCTGAAAATGTGCCTTGTTGGTGTTTGGGAATTGCACATTGTTTACTTTGTACATGTGCTTTTAAGGGTAAGATAACTAACATTTGCATAAATACAGAATCTCATGCAACTATAACGAACATTTTTGCAGAAATCTGGTGAAGTATGCTTGCTTCAAATAACTAACTGCTAATTATGACAGGTTGAGTAAAATAGGGTCACTTATGCATAATTAGCTTGTTAAATGTTGTTATGGGCACATAAATATGAGTTGTGCCCATGAGGTGTTTGTTCCTTTTTTAAACCCCTCTTGTCTCTTCATAGTACAAAGTATATCATGAAGTGAAAACCAAGCACGTGACTGAACTATTAAATGAATTTGGAATGGCAGTGCTGATGAACAGCTGCACTGAAGAGAGGATGATAAGACCCACTAACCAAAATGTCTGGCAATTTACAGGGTAATGAGCAATCGGCATACCATGGGATTGCTAAAGTTCATTCAGCACTGAGTTACCATTCAGTTTAAACTGACAGTGCCACAAAATAAAAAGAAAAATAAATCTACATTCAGTGTAGTCTAATTTGCACCTCACGGAATTAGGGTTATTGCTAAGTGAATGTATAATAGAGTGTGTACAGACGAAACGAGAAACTTACTTGAAGTCAAACTTGTTTTGATTGAATACTAGCCAGACTTTTCTAAAATGTGGGTGTTGTTGTAGCTGTTTGATACAAAGAAAGTTCTCTTTTATCACTTTTCCTGAAAATTCACCCACATTCACTACAGCACCCATTTGATTCTGAGGATTATTAGATACTGTACTTCTTGATATGATTTTTAAGAACGTTGCTCTCTTTGTTCTGACATGATTTGCCCTTCAGGATTAGGGAGAACCAGATTTTTGAACAGTTGCCCCCCATTTATTTTATGACGTTCAGTAGCAGTCATTAAATATCAGTAGCTATCAGGTAGAGAAAACATGCAGGATAATATTATTGTAATCACAGCTGTCTGAGGAAATGAACAGTTGGCTCTTACAATACATCTCCTGTCTCAACTGTTTTCTACCAGCAGAGTGGCTTGCTACTGTTTTACTTTAATGTCATGATTTAGCACACAACAATTTTAAACTAATGTTTACTTTTAGACATTATTAGTTTATATGTAATGTATTATTAGACTGAAGTAAAGACTCACACAGATGTTTCCTATTCTGGGATGTATACTGTACTGTCGTCCTGCTGGAGCCCTTCAGAAGAGGGCCTCTAAGGAAAACAATGTAATGTGGACTTCATTAGATCAACTGACGTGATGCTCATTGTGTTTTGACAGTGTCCAATGTGTTCATTCTGGTGGCTCTTTACACAGAAAGGCAGCTGTCAAAGGTGAGTGGAAAAACATCAGAGCTCTGTGGATTTTAACCGAGCTGTCGAAATCAGAGCTCTTCAAAACGCCCAGGAGGGATTATTTTTCTAAAACTGACTGACTAGCTTCCCCTCCCCGAGTGCATCTGCACATGTTAAATGGTAAAACAGGGAATTTAGTTTCACCATACTTTGTTATGCTCTGTATGTTTGGCATGAACATGGAACATTCTGAGCCTTTGAAACTTTACGAGGTCACCATAATGTGATCTGTCCAAAATTTCAGTTAACAAAGATTTAAATGTCTCATATTTGCCTCCTGTATTCTTCTCAACAGAGTTGGAAAGTAATTCTATACATATACTCAAGTACTGTACAATTTTGAGATACAGTATCTCAACTTGAGTATTTTCATTTTCTGCTACTTCATACTTCAACTTCACTACATTTTAGAGAAAGAAAATAGTATTTTCTACTCACTACATTTATTTGATAACCATTATTAGTTACCAGTTACTTTTCTGAATAAGATGACTAAAACTAAACACAGTATAATCATTAGACTTTATTGATTCCTGGTGAGAAATTCACAAGCTACCCAGCAGCATGTAAAGGACTTCAATTTATGTTTATAATTATAGTCCAATAATATGATATACATTGATGTGCAATGTGCTGTTCTGCAGAATGGCTACTTTCAATTGTAGTACTTTAAGTAGCTTTGATGCTAATGTGTTTGTACTCAGAAGTTTGTCTTGGGAAGACTGAAGTAAAGGGGGTACAAAATAACAGATATACGTAGATACAGATATAACAGAACAGTGAGAATCCACAAGTTGTACTGTCATGTAATTGTTGCTTTTAAGTAATTTTTAATGTTTTATCTAATTTACATTCTAATGTTTGATCTATATTAGCATTTTGAGTTTTTTCCATCTATGTGCATTGTGTTAATCACTTTGAATTGCCATTGTGTATGAAAATGTAGTATAGAAATAAACTTGCTTTGCCCTAAGTAACATTTTGAATGTAGGACTTGAACTTATAATAGTGTTTTTACACTGTGGTATTGCTACTTTTACTTCAGTAAACAACCTGAGTACTTCATCCAGCACTGCTTCTAGGTGTTTTAGAATAATCTTAACAACAAATTAATCAAGTTTAAAAACTGAGACCCAAATAGAGAAAGGTAGTCATGATGGCTTGTTTTAAATTTTTTTTTTTTTCCTGCTGTCTATCTTTGACTCTCTCTTTCTGACCAGGGTTCATTCAGTGAATCTGTGGGATTTCTGATCCATTGCATTAACCTGGCAATCATGCTAACATTCCCTGCTGCAGTGGTCCTGTTGGTCCCCTCCATGACCCCAGGTAACAGTTATTAAATGGCATCTCTGCAGCCTTGCTGCTAACTATTATACATAGACATATAGCTGACTGATGTAGAGGCATTTATTATGCAGCCAAGTCTCACTGTACCTGCTCCTTGGTAGCTATCAATATAGCCGTGTATATAAAATGGAAAATAATGTACTGAAGATTAAGAGGATATTCATATACTTGTCCATTCAGAGAAACAGTCAACCAGTAAGTCGACCAGTAAAAGACATTTCATATACAGAGTCATAACCGGAGTCAGTTAGTGGTAATGGACCACTTGGTCATGACTGGAGGATTTCCAGCTGGCTGAGAGGAAAGGAAAAGGGAGAGGAGAGGAGAGATGCCTACACAGGTGTGGTTTGCAGTACCTGGTTGTCGAATGGTCACCTTGTGTCTGTGTCAGGTTACATGGCCATCATACACAAGCTATATAGTTCACTTGTGATACTTTTGCAATACTGTACACCACATTATACACATAATTGGTGTTAATTTAGTCCCAAAAATCCCCCTTTTAATTCATAGTCCTCTCCCATTTTGATATATTTTCCTCTCTTCTCCTTGCCTCGCCTCTGTTTTCTCACTGGGAGATGAAGGAGCAAAGGAGTCAGTCCATCTGTTTGTCTGTTCTCCTCTGTGCACTGCTGTTCACACAGGAAGGTCGTAGACTGAGGGCAGGTGTGTGTGTGTGTGTGTGTGTGTGTGTGTGTGTGGGGAGCTATTACATGTACTGAACATTCCTTATGCAGCCTGTTTTCAGCCATGGAGCAGAGTGCAAGGCTCTGATATCAAACCTAATATCAAATTGTATTGAATTTCCTTAGAGGAATGTTGTACTGTGGGAAAACCCGACTGTCTACTGCCATTATTTTATTGTTTCCACTGGTTTTGCTGCCCTCTGATGTGCCAGTGTCTGCTGCAAGTCTGCCTAAGCAACCAGTATTCAAGGTATTAACCTGGTGAGCAGTGTTGTTCTTGTCTTAATCAGAAAACTCTATCATCCAACCAACCAAATATTAAAAGCTTACAGATGTTCCTGATGAAACATCTGACAGAGAGCAACCAATAAAATATGGAGGACAATAACTTTTTTCAGATTCTTTTAATAACAGGTGCTCAAATAGGACCAAGGGTTAAAAACTGGCTCCTGTAGTACCTAAGCTCTGCCTTTGTGTTGTAGTTATAGTTAAGGTTCAGGTGAGTCTCCAGAAAAAGAATGCAAGTCATTGTAAACTGTGTTTTTTCTCTCTGTCAGTTGGTGGTGTGTTCGTACTTGGCACATACACCATTCTCTTCCTAAAGCTGTATTCCTATAAGGATGTCAACCTGTGGTGCAGAGAGCTGAGCACTGTCAAGGCCAAGAAACTAGCTCGATCTCTGTCTTGTGAGTCATAAACACACACGCATGCACGGTTTGGCAGGACAACAAAAGAAACTAAAAATGTTTCCACTGTCAGTTTCTGTGAATGAATTTGTGCAAAAGTGACCTAATCCTGCACCAAGAGATAACTTCAGTTCCTTGCTTATGCTGCTACAGTGACATCTAATGGCAAACTCTTGATACTGCAGTTATTAAAAGTAAAAGAAAGTTTGACCAGCATTGTGCCTTGTTTGGTGTCATATTACATCTTCATGGTCATTATTTTTTCTCCACTTTTACATCATGACCCATGAAACAGAACACATTATACACACATTAATTCTACTTACAGGTCCTGCAGGACAGCACTTAGATGGAGGTGACCATAAGGTGTGTTATCCTGGAAACCTCACCATCAGAGGTACTCAAATTTATCTTTGTAGTATTTGGCTGAAACCTAACTGATCATGGTTTTATTGTGTAACATCTGTTTCAGATGTTTCAGTTTGCCACATTTTGCTTAAATGACCTCTGCTCTGTCTCTGTAGACATGTACTACTTTGTCTTTGCTCCGACTCTGTGCTATGAGCTCAACTTTCCTCGCTCTCCCAAGATTCGCATTCCTGCTGAGGAGACTGTTTGAGATGGTGAGGAAATATGTCAGAACCACGGTCAGAAGGGGATAACGATCAATCTAAATTCTTAGAAATATTGTCATAAATGAGGTACACCAGACCAGCTATTTAGAGTTAAACACTTAATGCAAGAGATTGTAAAGAGGGTGATTAATTCATTTAAAAGTAAGTTTGTGTATTGAAGGAAAGCACTGGGTCTTATTTTTGCAGTTTTTGCCACCAACTGAACCATATTGCTGAGCTTTTGGAACATGGTGACCGCAAACTAGGGCAAGGAAACAAACAGTTAGATAATCAGACATGTAAACCACGTCTGTTCCAAACAGCATAGTAGAATTACTTAGATCTCTCCAGTGGTGCTCTGTTTATTTTATTTATTTGTTTAACATAATATCTGGATGAGGTTAGAAACCTCTTTTACAAAGGCATCCTGGCATCACACACACACACACATATACATGTGTATATATATATATATATATATATATATATATATATATATATATATATATATATATATATATATATATATATATATATATATATATATATATATATATATATATATATATATATATATATATATATATATATATATATATATATATATATATATATATATATATATATATATATATATATATATATATATATATATATATATATATATATATATATATATATATATATATATATATATATATATATATATATATATATATATATATATATATATATATATATATATATATATATATATATATATATATATATATATATATATATATATATATATATATATATATATATATATATATATATATATATATATATATATATATATATATATATATATATATATATATATATATATATATATATATATATATATATATATATATATATATATATATATATATATATATATATATATATATATATATATATATATATATATATATATATATATATATATATATATATATATATATATATATATATATATATATATATATATATATATATATATATATATATATATATATATATATATATATATATATATATATATATATATATATATATATATATATATATATATATATATATATATATATATATATATATATATATATATATATATATATATATATATATATATATATATATATATATATATATATATATATATATATATATATATATATATATATATATATATATATATATATATATATATATATATATATATATATATATATATATATATATATATATATATATATATATATATATATATATATATATATATATATATATATATATATATATATATATATATATATATATATATATATATATATATATATATATATATATATATATATATATATATATATATATATATATATATATATATATATATATATATATATATATATATATATATATATATATATATATATATATATATATATATATATATATATATATATATATATATATATATATATATATATATATATATATATATATATATATATATATATATATATATATATATATATATATATATATATATATATATATATATATATATATATATATATATATATATATATATATATATATATATATATATATATATATATATATATATATATATATATATATATATATATATATATATATATATATATATATATATATATATATATATATATATATATATATATATATATATATATATATATATATATATATATATATATATATATATATATATATATATATATATATATATATATATATATATATATATATATATATATATATATATATATATATATATATATATATATATATATATATATATATATATATATATATATATATATATATATATATATATATATATATATATATATATATATATATATATATATATATATATATATATATATATATATATATATATATATATATATATATATATATATATATATATATATATATATATATATATATATATATATATATATATATATATATATATATATATATATATATATATATATATATATATATATATATATATATATATATATATATATACACACACACACATGCAGTAAGTTCTAAAAAAAATCCACTCACTTTATCAATGTCTGTCTTTCAACAGCTGTTCTTCACCCAGCTGTTAGTTGGTCTCACTCAACAGGTACAGTGCTATGGTGTAAACCAAAACTGAAGAATGGTGACGTATATTCTTTTTTATTTTAATTGAACCATTTGTATCAATACTAAAACATTCCTGAGATGCAGTCTAGGCTGTGATGGCAATCAAACATGTTGTGGCTTTATCTGATTGTATTTCTCTGACTACAAGAAATGCTGTTGTTGAAAAAGACTTAACATTGTTTTTAAATTTTCTTTCTCTCTTTGAGTGGATGATTCCTATCATTCAAAGCTCCATGAAGCCACTAGAGGTGAGGAAGATGTATGTCATGTTGTTTTCAAATTCAAAGTGCTGCTGTGCATCATTTGTTAATCTGTGGGTCTCTCCTCTGCTGTAGGACATGGATCTATCCAGGATGACTGAGAGACTCCTGCGATTAGCTGTGAGTTAAAAAAAAAAAAAAAAAACCCTGATGACCAACTTACTATGGCATGAAATAGCATTATGGAAGTTATTTCAAGCAAGATAACAAGCAAGGGCTGGCCATGCATTTGAATATGGAAGTGTTTTGGACTTGCAGTATATCTCATACATAGAGTATATCACTATTATAGCTAATAAATGTATTATTAGAATGACACTCACTTTTATTAGCTTAGCATTAACATTTATGAATCATTGCTTTCCAAAATGTTACAGTTGCACATACACTGACATAATTTACTGAACCACACACAGATCACACATTGCCACGTGCATACAGTAACTGTCCTGTATATAGTATATAACTCATATTGACTTTGCAGAAACTGTTGCTTTCAGTTTGTTTGGATTCATAAATGTCTCTTTTTGCAACAGTATATATTTTATTCTTGTTCATGTTGGTCTTCAATCTGTCTCTACAGGTCCCCAATCACTTGCTGTGGCTGATGTTTTTCTACTGGTTCTTCCACTCATCTATGAACTTCACAGCTGAGCTGCTGTGCTTTGGGGATAGACAGTTTTACAAGGACTGGTGGTAAGTTTGTGCATGAGTTGGTGTCAGTGTTGTTTATGGGTTTTATGAGGTTTGGTGTACAGTGATGAAGTTGATTGATGACTGAGTCTGTACAGCTCAGAGTTGCAACACAAACTGGTATTTGCATGTGTGTGCCTGGAAGGGATGGAGAGAACAAAGGACTTGGAAACAACTTTTATAGTGTTCTGTAAAAGTTTTGAATCAAACATGCTTATACAGAGTCTAGGCATTACATTTTTGACAAATCACTTTGTACATTGTACCTTTGCTGATAATAGTCACTCAGTGTGCTGTAGGATAATTAGTTTTTCCTGCCTGACAGTAAAATTCTAAACTTTTTCATAAATAATGAAGATACTGCCCTAGATGTATTATTTAAACCCTATAATGCTTTAACTCTCTATTTGCTGACTCTTATTTCAGGAACGCTGAGACGGTGACATATTTCTGGCAGAACTGGAACATCCCTGTACACAAGTGGTGTCTGCGGTAAGTTACTAACACACTGAGAGGGAGTGAAATTCAAAGAACTGAACACGGGACAGCAGCAGGTTTGAAGCAGAGAGACAGACTGAACAATGCACACTGATTTGTCTGGCTTGGTGAGAGTGAAGCTTGATTTATGGTCCTGCGTTGAATCTACACCATAGGTACGTAACACATAGCCTCGTAGCCTAAGCCGTAGTCTGACAACAACAAATGTGACCAGTTGCATCACATTTCCTTGTTCATGTCCTTCAGTGGCCGGACAAGCACGGAGAATCCCCCTGGTTCAATGGCTGTACAGAACATCTCCTCTCTTAGCTGCATCGCAGTAATTTCAGTAGAAGTATCTGCTGTTCAACATCTGCGAAGTGGCCAAGAAACGCAGTACACTGGTATAGAAACCCCTCTGCTAACTAGCATTTTGGCAGTGTGATTGCAGAGCAAGGCAGATACATCAGGCGCAAGTATAAATTCTCAGCGTAGGTTCAACGCAGAGCAATAAATAAAGCTTAAGCGGCAGTAGTGCCGTATTATTTGCCAGCTCCATGTACACTGACGTAGCATCAGGAGCAAATGCAAAGAGGTTATATAAAGGGCTTAAGAAAAATAAGTGAAATCTTTATCATCAAGCATTTGATTTACAGTAAATGTCCGATCCCTGAATCATCTCTCTGTCCATCCAGTTATTTCAACATTTGTTTTTCTATCTTGTAGCCACTTTTACAAGCCACTGCTGAGGAGAGGATTTAGTAAAATAGTCAGCCAATCAGCTGTCTTCTTTTTGTCAGCGTTTTTCCATGAGGTAAGAACTGAGACCAATATGACTTTATCTGCTGTGTGTGATACAGGACATGGTACTTAAGGTCTTCACTGTCTTCAAAACTGTTAATCCTCTGTCAGAGAGCACAAGTTATTTGATATGGTGATTGTTGTTTCCCTGTCTGTTTCTGTGCCAGTACCTAGTGAGTGTTCCTCTCAGGATGTTCAGACTTTGGGCTTTCACGGGCATGATGGCACAGGTGAGACTTTAAAAGATTAAAAGCTGGTAAAGGTAGGCTGGAATTAGTTTACTTGTGCAGCCTCATCATACACAAAGTTAATATTAAATTCAAATTAAGTTCCTTTTGGAGGTCTTCTCAGTGTTTGGCCTTGTCTCCAGTATCATTAACTTAACGAATGACCCTCATTAGCATAACGGCATATTTGACAAATCAATGCAAATATGGTGGGACAAAAAGCAGTAAGTGCCTCTTATTCTTTGCTGACACTTGTTAGTTTGATATTCATTATAGCGTGCTGAGTCACACAACGCACAAATCAGGGAACAATACACACGGAAAATTGATTCTGTAATTAATCATTAGAAAACACAACCGCCCACTATTCTTGTTTAATTACCTTTTTTTATTGACTCATCAGCTTCCATTAGCCTGGTTTGTTGGACACTTCCTGTGCGGTAACTATGGCAATGCTGCAGTGTGGATATCCATCATCATTGGTCAGCCGTTTGCCGTCCTGATGTATGTCCATGACTACTACGTCCTACACTACAGACAGGAGGCTGACTGAAGCGAACACGCATGCGCACATGTCTTACTATAGTTGTCAGGACATTCATTGACGTAATGTATTCCCAAGCCCCACTACTCTGACCCCAAACTAAACATGATTCTAACCTGTCCTGTACGTAACCTTCAAAAAAGCCCTTTGAAATCGTGAGGCCTGGCTGAAATATCCTCACAACAATAAAATGTCCTTACAACATTGGCATGAAAAAAAAAAAAACTGGTCTGCACAATGTAATAAAGACATTTACACACACACACACACACACACTATGTTTTTTTTACTTCTCCCTTTTCTATTTTGTGAAAACAAACACCTAAGCACCACTAGTCCACAGTGCAGGTAACAGATACTGTGCTCTACGTGGTAGGGTGAGTTGGGCATCTGTTGCGATAGCATGTTTACATTGGACACCCTGGTTATTGTGTCTTCCTGCAAGGAAATTTAAGAATTGCTTACTGAGGAAGATATTTTGATATTTCAAGTGGACATTGAGTCACTACTGTACAGCAACTTAGCGAGGAATGTCACACTATTGCAGGGTGTTACTCAGGTGATTTTTTTTTTTTTACATTTGATGGCCATTTTGGGCCAGTTTAATGTATACATTTTTTTAAATTTGATACTGCAAAACATACAGGAAAAGGCCAGCATCACTGTGACTACGGTTAGTAGTCGACTGTATGCAAAATCATTGAATTTGTTTGCCATTCTCCTGTCTCACTGGGCTGTTTCCAAATAATGTCTAATGATGTATCTAAACACAATGTGTGCATCTGAAAATAAATACAAGAGTTCAATTTAAGGCTTGTTATCAGAGTTTTGCTTCCTATCTGTATTAGTGATACATTTGATTATTATTAATATTTTCATGTGTGTAAACATTTCAAATTCGATAAGGGTAAGTATTGACTGAAATTGAAAGATCACATCTGTACTTGAAACATACAGGACTTGTTCTTGAAAGTGAAGGGGACCCATGCATACTGTATGTCCCTGGGGAGTCGAGGTGTTGCAGGATGTAATGCAGTGCTATGTTAAATGCAGCATCCACTGACTTGTTTGCCTGTAGGCAAATTGCAAGGGGCCCAACAGTGGGCCTGTGATGCCCTTCAGGTGGGCCAACACCAGTCTCTCAAAGGACTTTATAACTACAGGTGTCAGGGCGACAGCTCTGTAGCCACTCAGTCCACTGATGGAGGATTTCTTGGGAACTGGGATGATGGTGGAGCATTTAAAGCAAGAGGGAACTTCACATAGCTCCATTGACCTGTTGAGCATCCACTGACTTGTTTGCCTGTAGGCAAATTGCAGGGGGCCCAACAGTGGGCCTGTGATGCCCTTCAGGTGGGCCAACACCAGTCTCTCAAAGGACTTTATAACTACAGGTGTCAGGGCGACAGCTCTGTAGCCACTCAGTCCACTGATGGAGGATTTCTTGGGAACTGGGATGATGGTGGAGCATTTAAAGCAAGAGGGAACTTCACATAGCTCCATTGACCTGTTGAAGATAAGTATGAAGATGGGGGCCAGCTGATCAGCACAAGCTTTCGGGCAGGAGGAGACCACACTGTCTGGGCCATGTATTCTTCAAACTAGTGCGTCAGCTCAGATATTTTAGTGATTTCTGCTATAGTCCTTCCACTTCCAATAAGCAGAGAAGGGGATTCCCTGAACTCACACACAGGTACGTGGGTTACAACTTTGTGAGACAACCACAGCTTATGACCCAAACCTAAAGGAGAACTGGACAGTATATTAGCAACAGGTAGAAATGTTTGTAAAACCCAATGAATAACAGTGTTTATCTTTCATTGTGCTTTTGAGTTTTTCATTAAATCTACCATGAACATTTTTAGCAGAGCTCTTGGAAGTTTAATTGGTTTGTTACAATATTCAGCCACCAATTATTTCCAGTTTAAATTGTCACTGACTTGCACAGTTTTTTCTTTCCGATGTACACACTTTACAGGCCTGTAGAAACAGGTCTAATAGTGTTGCGTCATATTTACCCAGCCTGGGTCCTATATATTGAACAATTTACAGATCTGACTCATTTCCCAGTAAAAGTAGCAACACTCCTTTCAGCCCTCACTGCTGAGTCTGTGTACTGCAGTGTGCACTGTAAACCCTCTGCCATTACTATAATATTTAGGGGCTTCTGTTATCAACTTCAAGAAGCCGCTGCTGGAACACCATGGTCATATGCTTTTATCATTAAACACATTTATTCCTACCTCACTTACATCCAAATCTGAAATCGACTTTTATTTTATCTGCTATACTCAGTTGCTCTCACAAATGACCCCAGAATGTCTGTCATTAACACCAATACTTATGATTTATTTTCCTTACAAGTGTTCTGAGATCACATTAATACTGCCAGTTTAACACCAGTTTTGACAAGAACATCTGCTAAAAGCCAAGACTGTAAACACATAATGTAAATGACACTTATCATGTCTCTGCGTTGTCATCATGCACAGTCACTACTAAATCTCATGTACTCCAGTCACAGATATTTACCAAACCACATGTTAAAAGATTTAACACCATCATTAGTCTGATATTCATCATATTTGGGCTACCTACCAGGCTTAATATGAAACACAAGGCAGTGGAAAAACATCATTTTAACACTTTGCTACTGGGCATCTCATCCCGTGGCACAAAACTGTCTGTGTGCTTGAAAATATATTGTCCAGAGATGTGAGGACAGGACTGTGAACCTGTATTTTGTCAGGCTGACTGTGAATTAAACAGTAAGTCTGCAAATCACAATGTTTGTGTAGGCGTGTGCGTAGGTGCTCTGTGAGTGTGACATTTAGTTAAACAGTCGTCAGTGGGGATTAAAGTGTAGACGTGAAAAGAAACATGGCTTTGCAGGATACATGATGCTGTACAATGTAGAAAATCAGCTTGGGATAAAAACCCTATTTCCTCTATTAGTCTTACTTTTTTTTCTGATTCCAAAAAAGTTGAGACCCACTTGAATCAAGCACATATTGTAGGAAATGTTAAATTACATGTAATAAAGAGATGGTTTATTTTGAAAGTGGCACAAACCCTTGACACAACATTCTCAGTGATATCACAAAAATGACATGTATAAGTAATAGTCTTCATGGGTCATTTAAGTGATGGGTGCACAGTTCAAGTCTCACTCTGTTGAGCATAAATACACTAAAGTGGTGGGTAATGGTACACAAGAAATGTGGTGGGCAAACAGTAGGTTTGATTTCACATTTTCCACTAGGTAGTGCAGTAGTTAGCGGTGTTGCTTCACAGCTAGAAGGTTGCGGGTTAAAGACCTAGTGCTTTTCTATGTGGCGTTTACATGTTCTCCCTCTTCCGGCTACCTCCTACAATCCAAGGACATGAGTCTTAGGTGGACTGGTGACTCTAAATTGGCCGTAGGAGTGTGTGTGGCTGTCTGTACCTAAGTGTCAGCCATGTGACCCTCTTCAGGATAGGTGGTAGAGATAATGGATGTAAATTGATGGATGGATTTTCCACTTAACATCACAGGGATACATGTAATTATATGTACCAGCACATCTCCTCTCATAGCTGAAGAAAACCATCAGCAGTGAGACAGTTGTAATCCTCCATCAGTCCCCCTCTCATTCCTGACAAATAAACCATGAGAGGACAGAGGGAGTGAGGCAAAAAGAGCAGAAACTCCACCATTGCCCATCTATCATCTATATTCAGGTGGTTCCTGATGCAAACAAAATTCACGTATTCCCCTACTTGAACTGGGTCACACATTTGATTCACTGTCTTTGTACTACACACATGTACACAACCAAGCACATGTCATGCGGTGTCCCATCAGTCATGTCTACACTCATACACACTTTACTCACTCTGTCTTTGCCTCTGCCTTTGTTTTGTCTCATTTTTACTTTCACACATCCTCAGCTCTCTCCTCTTTCCTTTCTGTCCCCATCCTGCACCTTCCCCTTTTCTCTTTGTGCTCAACACCAGTAACAGGTTGATCCATGGCTCCTCTCCTGACATCCGTTATTCCGGATCTCTCCAAGGGACCCTGACAAGCTATGAGGGATTATGCTCCTCTAGACAGGAAACCAGGAGACACAAACTTGCCCCATTCTGCAAGATTGATAAAGCATAGGTCCAGGGACACATGATAAAGAAACGTCTAGAGCCTTACATTCAAATACAACTTTTAGTCAGGCAAATGTGAATTTATACACATGTATTAAACAGATACACAAAACAATCTTACAATATATCCTAAATGTTTGGATATATTGTAAGATTGTTTGTGATTGAAAGTGGCAGATGATTACCATGTGGCAGTCAAGTTAGATTTATCTAAAGAATGTATAGAACAAGATATATTTTTCTTGTTCTTCTATCTAGTACAATGACATTTACATTTTAAAAAGGCCAAGTATACAATCTCAATTTTCCTATATCTAGTACAGAGCTGTTAGTAGGATTTTAATGCAGTGGACTGAAACAAGTTTAATCATCCAAAGGGAACTGATTACCCCTAATACAGTATTGCTGTCTCATTTTTTTTCCCCACTCAAACAAGAACAAGTATCAGGATGAAAAGAGCATTGAATCACTTGTTAAGCTTGATGTCTTCTGTCTCAGCACCGTGAGATAGATAGGTCTGATCGGATGCAAGATTCTGTGTTTCAGTGCATTTGTAATATATCTGAGAAAGGGCACTGGTATTAAATCACAATCATATTTGATCACAAATCTTTTTATTGCTATATTTTTGTCCTCCCCAGCTACTCACATGACAGGGCCAGCATATAAGGAACACCTCTGAGTATAATGTAGTCCAGTAAAACATCACCTTTAACTATGGCATACATCTGTATAGGTGTTACTATTAAAGTGGCCGGGCATTGTAGGTTTGTGCACTCTGCTCTGTTGAACAGCACTCTGACATTTGAATAGACAGTCTGAATGAGCTACATCTTACCATGCTCTACAGAAGCCTATAGAAGAACACAATCAAGCTGATGAAAACGTTTTGTCCCTGATAATGTTTGTGTGTGTTTTATAGTAGCCATTTTTGTTTACACCTTGTAAAAATACATTATATCACATATTTAATGTATAAGTTGTACTTATGTGTCTGAGTGTATACAGTTTGTGCACATACTGTATGTTCATGCTGTACATGAGCATGCATGTGCATGTCACTGCAGTATGAAAACATACTAAGACTTCCTGTTGGAAACTCAAATTGAGGGAACATTTGGAATGAGAGGGAGGGAAGAAAAAAGACAGTCACTGAGGGGATGAAGAGAGAGAGTCTAAAAATTATGTTCAAACAGGGAAAAAGAGAAGGAGAAAAGAAGAAAGCGAAGCCAGTGAGACATTTGACAATAGAAGAAAGGAGATGGATCTGAGGATGTCTGCAAAATCCAGAGAGAAACCAGTAAACTGAATTACAGATGAGAGAGTGACAAAGTGACAGAAGTGGCAAGGGCATCCCTTGGTGCACAGATCAGAAAAAAGAATATTGATCATTTCACCCAACATGACTCAAGAACCTGAAAGAAGAAACACGACTGACATGCTGACAAAAGAAATGTTATTCTCACTGAGGCATTGAACTGCTCCGGACAGAAACGCCACTGACATACGTCAGTGTTTAGAGAAGATACGAGGTCGTTAAAGTCACTGAAAGTTGAGGCATCCTTACTTGGTAAAGATCCAGTACCACCTGGATGGAGTCTGATTAAGGATCTTTCAGTTATGATGGACATGAGGACTCATCAGCTTCATCAGACAAAGGTTTGAGCAGTCTCGTTTTTTCCCTTGGAGGTAAGTTATCATTAACAGTGCTTAAATTTCTGCTATATACTCTACTTTGTACTTAAAGGAAAAAGAAATCAGGTCTCTTGGTTATGTTTCATCCTGGGAACCAGACTAATCGAAATATGCAAGTACAAATGTAATGGCAAAAATCATTAAAACAAGCACAACTAATCCCTCACAAGTGCATTCAATGTTGCAAAATAGTAGGAGTGTATAATCTTTGCATTACATAGACAGAACAGGCAAGCAAAATCATCCACTGAGGAATTTTGAGTAAATTGATATAGTTATTGACAATTATAGTAGAGTGTTCAAAGAGGTTACTACTGTACTGCACTCCACATCATGTTTGTAATATATTTCACAATTACTGTACATGAAAAAGCCCCTGTGAACTTTTATAGCAAGTACAACTATCACTAAATTTAGCTACAATGACAACAAAATGTTTCCTTGAGGGAGTGCTTTATAAAACTAAAGTTTGATGCAGGACAGCATGAGAACGTTAAACCAGTATCCCATCCCGTGTCTTTCCCTTTATTTTCAGTACACACACTCTCACACACACAAGTGAGTCTCCCACGCTACTGGTATTTATTTGGACAGTGATATTTGTGATGAAGGGCCATCTGCCCTGCTGGCAATATAACTTTACAGTCAGTGCATCACCAGTCTTTGATGTTAGAAGATGAAAAGCAATAACAGGAGAAACAAGGATGTATTAGATTTCTATCAAATAAGCAGAGATGACTTAAATTTGAGAACAGATAAACTTGTATTTTCATATTTTACTATTTATTGATTCAATAAATGCCACTTTGCTATAGGATTACAAAACAACACTTCTGATGTCCTCCTGAAACATGTTACTTTTAAAAGCTTGAATCATCATGTTTTATTATAGTTAATGTGCAAATAAATCAATAAATGACATACCACTGTAGCAGCCACACATAATGATTTCCAGATGCTTGAAGGACTACAGCCACAATCTGTGACAATGGTGCTTTCAGAATGACTTCTAACTCGTACCTTATACCCCTGAATAAAAGACCATTTTACATTAAAACATTCATAATTTAGTTAGATAATAAATAAATAAATAAATGATAAAATAACATGCCAATCCCCAACAGTTGGTATTAGCATTTGGGTTTCATCATGTTACTCTCATTTTGCCGAACTTTGTTTAGAGCAAATTATCTACTACACAAATTATAACAAAGATACACAAAACTTCGAGTAGTTGTAAAGGAGTGGTTATCCAGTGCAAGCCGGTTTTAATTTTATCCTTCCTTATGTTACTGAAGGAATTAGGTCTGTACTTAGAGACAGTGTTTAGCTAATTGCTAGCAGATCTTAGATTAGCATGTCAGTATGCTAACATGTGTTGGTTACTACACAGATGAGGATGAAAAGGTTTTGGTTTTGCAAGCAGTGAACCAATTAATATTTTGACTTGACAATGACGCTGTAGACAAATTAAGGGACCATCAACTTATTCACTCTGAAAAGAATATGAATGCCTATACAAAATTTTATCCATCCAATAGGCCCATTATCAAGATATTTCACTCTCAACCACAAAGGTCATGGTGGCACTACAGAAAAAGTCAGGGGATCGCCAAAGATATCAAAACATGTTCTAATGTCTAGCATGGGATAGTTAGGCCAGGATAAGCTGGGCCTTACAACATATCATTAAAAACCACTGGAACAGGCCACATTATTTAGCATTGTTGTTCGCTTCTGTAGTAAGTGGTTTAACACACAATTTCCCCAGTGCAACACTCAAAACACTAGTTAGCATTCTTAATGATGATGAACTAGCTCCAGTAAGCTGAATAATATCAGGGAATGTTGCTGAGAAAACACCCATTTGTTTCCTTCAGTGGTCTTGATATTCTGTTGCTGGGCAGGTCTTGTTAGTGCAGATGAATCACATTATTCATGCTTTGCCCTGAGTGGAGCATAGTGTTTATTTATTTATTTTTATTACAGTTGTTCTCATTAGCCTGAATAGGCTGCTTTTTTTTAATCAAATGGATTAATTTGCTGTGAGAGATTAGCTGTGACCTGTGTACACAGCACAATATGGCTGGGCTATACTGTATCAGTCTATCTTTGCAATATGAAGCCGATCTCATTTGACTTATCTAAAGGGGGTTGAACCACAATGACTTTATTTCATCCTGGTATGACTGTCAATAAAAGGTCATATCTTGACCTGAAGAAGTTAGATGTGTTGTTTCTGTGTTTTATAAGACAGTAAACACAGGATGAAGATATGATCTGATATGACAACAAGAGCCTCTGTACCAGAGTCAAATTCCTTGTGTATTTAATCATACTTGCTCAATAAAGCTGATTCTGATTTGTGCCTGAAAGAGTTACAGTAAAATCTACATTTCTAAAAATTTGTAATAAAATATCTGGAAATAAATATATTTATAGCTCCTCAGAGGCCATTGCTGTAGGCATAAATAAACATAGTACATTATAAATAAATTGTCTAAATAAACCAGATATTGTTTAAATTGGCTTTGTATGTGTGGCCATGCCAAGAACAACAACTACACTGACGTCAGAAATGGGAATGAGTGGATATGAGGCCGAGGGAATGGATGTGTCTGTGTACAAAAAGGGGGGGGCATTTAAGAATCAGCCCCATTAGCGAGATAAAGACTACAAAGAGTAATACAATTTTAAAAAAAGAAGCAATTTAAATTTTTGTCAAATAAATAAACACCTACTGCAGGGATGTGGTTAAATTATTCAAAACAATAAACTCATTAAAAGGGGCAGTTTGAACCATTAGAACAACAGGCTGAAGCTTACTGTTATCCCTGTGTTTTTGAGAGTTTACATGACTCCCTGTTACTGTCTGTGTCATTTTGTCTGACAGTTCACCAACACCAAATCAACATCCTCACCATCATTACCTACAGTCATCATCATCATGAACCTCAACAGTACTGAGTCCTGGGTTTTCATCAGTATTTCATCTCCCCTCCTGCCTGTAGAAGCCAGTCCCACTAACAGGAGTGGCATGGAAGCATATCTTCAAAGACTGGCTCATTTAGATGAGGGCCTTTACAGTGACTTTTACGGCCTCTGGATTACACTGATGGTCATAAACTCTCTTATATTTCTGGTATGAAGTTTTTACAGAGCTCTTTTGATGTTGTGGATAGTTGTGTCATTTGTAACTTGTGTTGACCACACTGGTCTGTACAAACTGATTTTTCTTTCCTTTTCTTTGTATCTCCCTCTTTTTTTCCAGGTGGGCATGGTGCTCAACACCGTTGCACTTTATGTTTTCTGTTTCCGCACAAAGCAGAAGACCACCTCAGTGATATACACCATCAACCTGGCGGTGACAGACCTCTTGGTGAATCTCTCTCTGCCAACTCGCATCCTGCTGTACTACAGTGGAGGAGCTTGTCTCACCTGTTCCTACCTGCACATCTTCAGCTACTTTGTCAACATGTACTGCAGCATCTTGTTTCTTACCTGCATATGTGTTGACCGTTACCTTGCAATCGTGCAGGTGGGTTTTGTCTGTGGTTTGGTAACAGATTTGGTCTCACTTATATTATCTGAAGTCTAAGCAGTCCCCCTACAATTTGCTGGATACCTGCTTAAACAGAAGGAATCTAAAATGTCTTATTTTCTTATGTTCTTGCAGGTCGAAGCATCTCGTCGGTGGAGGAACTCCAGTGTGGCCAAATGTGTGTGTGTCTCTGTCTGGCTGTTTGCCATCGTGGTCACCTACTCTTTTCTCTCTACTGCTTTCCAGCATACAGGCTGCTGCCTCTCAAAGCTCCTTTTTCTTACCATCACTGAGTTCTTTCTACCCCTCATCATCATTGTGGTCTTCACCTTGAGGATTATGTGGGCCCTAGCTGACCGCCATCTGATGCAGCAGAGCAGGTATAAACACTAGTGCACTGATAAAAGGGAAGGGTACTTCAGACTTTATAAAAAAATTACTCACAGTTGCAGCTCTAATATTTACGGACGATGGCATGTCACAGTGGTGGTTTTAATTGTTTTCTCAGGGAGAGGAGAACGAGGGCTGTCCAGCTGCTGAGCACAGTGCTGATCATCTTCACTGTGTGTTTCACACCCTTCCACATCAGACAGGTGAGCAAGTGGCAGACATGGCACACACTGTTTTACAGGAAAAATCATCATTTTATGTTGTCCTTAAATTCTCCAGGGGCCGCAAAATATCAGTTGCTGATGACATTATTTTGTTACAGATAATGGCCCTGGTAATATGGCAGCTGTCTTTTTTTGTGCTATAGGTTGTGGTGCACTTCTACCCTGATATGCCTCATCATGTGATTGCCTACCACTTGACTGTCACTCTCAGCAGTTTGAATAGCTGCATGGATCCTATTGTCTACTGCTTTGTTACAAATAATTTTAAGGTTAGACTTGATTCCTTTCCCACCTGTCTTCCTCACCTTTTTTTTCATCACCCTGATCTAAGTACTCAGACTGTTTACTTAACTAAAAGCAACACCACAGTGTAAAAATATTTTGTTACAAGTAAATGTCCTGCATTCAAAATGTTACTTAAATACAAAAATATTAACATCAAAATATACTTAAAGTACCAAAAGTAAAAGTACTCATTATGCAGAATGGCACATTTCACATTAATGTATATCATATTATTGGATTATAATTAAATGGTATTATACTTGTATAGTGCTTTTCTATGCATTGCAGCACACTCAAAGCACTTTCATACTACTTGGCCATTCACACTCACACACTGGTGTTATCATCAGTAGCAACTGGGGGTTCAGTGTTTTGCTCAAGGACACTTCAACACGTTGACTGGACAAGCCGGGAATAGAACCGTTAATCCTCGAGTTAGGAAACAACCCACTCTACCTCCTGAGCCACAGCCGCCTCCAAAAATTACTGACGCATTATTGTGTACATCACATTTAATGTTGCATCTGGTGGAGCTAATTTTAATTACTTCATATGCTTAAAATTTGAAGTATGTTACATACAACTGGGTAGCTTGTGAATTTTACACTGAGGATGCATACAGTCCTATGATTATACTGTATTTTGTTTTATGAATTTAATTTTGAAAAGTAATGAAAATGATCAAATAAATATAGTGAAACACAAAATACGATATTATGTCGTGAAGTCGAACTATGACGTAGCAGAAAATGAAAATACTCAAGTAAAATACAAATACCTCAACACTGTAATTAAGTACAGTACTTAGTTACTTTCTACCTCTGCTCTCTACCACTTGTGTATCCATCCATCTTTCACTCCATAAATTTGTCCATCCATCATTCATTTTCCACCTTTTTACTCAGCAGTTCACCAAATCATTTACTGCCTTTTTCTCTCTTAGGCCACTATGAGACATTTTTTCCGCCGTGCAGAGCCTGAACAGACCAGTGGTGACATCATCAGCATGCAGCACAGCTCCAAGGCCTCAGGAGGGACAGCCAATGTCATCTCTAATAATGTGATCATGATGACCAAGGTTCACAGTTCACTGTAGAGAGACAATCTGGGAAAGAACCACACAGTGTAAATTTGCTTTCACAAAGGGTGAGGGGAACTGAAAGTCACAGAAATGCCACTGTTGCCTGGCGAAGTCTGAACTCTGCAACAGGCTGAGCAGTACTAAAACCCCAGGATTGACTAAGAAGTAAGCTATCACAGCCAGCTCAGCATTTTGAATAATACTACTTGAATAATTTGGTTCCCACAAGAAACAAATTTATTCTGCAAGTTAACATTATCATGATGCCAGTAAACTTTTCCATTACCTTGGACCTGCATCTTTTCACCAAGCTCCCTAACTGCTAGACCACTTTGGTGCTAAATTCAAATACAACAGAACACACAACTGACTTATTTATATAATTATTAATAGGAATTATACAAGTGACAAAATGCCTGTTCCTTTAAAACATTCATATTTGATGTACTACCTTTTCCACATTCCAACCTTATAAATTTTACCTTGTAGCACAGTGTAAAGCAGACCACACTGTAATCTGTTTCCAAAATCAAAGATAAGTGATGTTTTTTGCTTGGACTACAAGCTTATAATTATAGGATGATTGCTACTTCTGCACAGCAGAGGGCAACATTGCACTCAGTTTTGAGGATGACTCCAGGAAGAGATAAGGGAAACCACTTAGATATCTGAAAGCAGCTTCAATGCGAATGTCTGGACAGGGGCTGTTGAACTGTAATAATATTGTTTTATTATAACAAAGTTGAATATTATGCGCTTATTTGGCTGAAAAATAAAAAGATGTGCAACCAAGACAAATGCTTTTCTTTGTGTTTTGTTGTGATCAGGTTCTTTTCCTTGCCTCATGATGATGGGATCAAGTCTATGTATAAAACACTGTAGTTGGAGCTCCTCTGGTCCCTCAAATAGTTCTGTCAGGTTCCTGAAATGTATCAGTATCAATCAAGACTACATTTCATATTTGAGAAATAATATGAAAACTAAAGCTGAAATCAATCACTTAAATTGAATACACTTTTATAATTTCAAATATAACGCCCGTTTTCAAATTATTGATACGTAGTTTTTAATGAATTACTAACCATGATTACTGTAACTCCCCGCCCTCTTTAGGTGAGTAGCGTGCTGACGCCATCGTTCTGACCACGCCCCTTTGTTACTGTGGAAACCATCCATAGTGGAGACCAATGAGATTGATGAGCGCAGTAAAGCAGATGGTCACTCAGTTAGCTGGTAAAGGTTAGCTAATTACAAATCCAAATCGAGCGATTGCTGCTACGTTAAGGAAAATATACGTGATACAGAGCAGGTTCCGTTTCACCTTGAAGAAGGAACAGGTTCAGGTCGGTTACATCTTTTTCTGTTCGTTTTAAGGGTATCTTTATGTCGCAGCTTGCTAATGTCAGCTGACTACTTTATTAGACAGCCTAGCTCGCTAAACTAATGTCAACCTTTTAGTGAAATCACAGTAATTGTAAAGTTAATATGTCCAGGTTTAGATATTTTTATCCAGTCAGACAAAAACAACATATCTATCGCCAAGTACACTAACGTTATCATATATTCCAGTCAGAAACACGTGCTAAAATGTTAATGTTTAAAAGGTTACACGAATGGTTAACTTATTGCAGACTAGAACAGGTTATTCTATCGCTCTGTGAAAACATGACACAAGATTGCAGATTACAGTCACTTGTATGGGAAGCGTTTTAAGAGCTAAGTTTAAATTTGTTTAAACACTAGCTTATACACCGATCAGGCATGACATTGACCACAGGCAGGAGAAGTGACTATCTGTTACAATGGCACCTGTCAGTGTGTGGGGTATATTAGGCAGCAAGTGAACATTCAGTCCTCAAAGTTGATGTGTTGGAAGCAGGAAAAATGGGCAAGTGTAAAGATCTGAGTGACTTTGACAAGGGCCAAACTGTGATGGCTGATGACTGGGTCAGAGCATCTCCCACACTGCAGGTCTTGGTGGGTGTTCTTGGTCTGCAGTGGTCAGTACCTACCAACAGTGTCTAAGGAAGGACAGATGGTGAAATGGAGACAGGGTCATGGATGGTCACTGATGATGAGGTTGATCTACTGTAGATTGAAGTTTAAATTTCATTCATCCTTTTAAAAAAGATTCTACTTTATTTGAACCTTTGTTAAAATGGTTGAAAATGAGAAACACTGTACATTGGTCTCTATGAAGAGAAACATTCAGCAGCTACAGTGGTGATGTCACACCCAGAGTGGAGAGGCTGCTGAATTGGTCTAAATATTATCTCTAACTTTTTGCTCATGACCATAGTTTTCGCTTCTTTTACGTGTTTTTCACTGGATGGTTGACACATCTGTGCTCTTCCTGGCAGTAGATCTATGGAAGCAAATTGATTCACACAAGATGCTCAGTGAGCTGCAGAGTGACACGGGTGCCGAACGACTGCTGCACTGACTCCTATGTAAACAGTATTAGGAAGGTGGTCATAATGTTATGGATGATCAGTGTATTTGATCTATCCTTTATGTGGGGTACCTCACATATATTTGCATTTTGAAAAGGCAAGACAGAAAAATCAAATCACATCATTGTTTCATGCATCCCAGAGATGGTCTATTAAACTAGTAGCAGATGGGATCCACCTGTTTTAACTGTTAACAATTACGCAACATCTACTGTGGTGTAATAAAGATGGAAGTCTTCCAGCTTCAAAGGTTATGGTTAAAAGTGCTGTCACTCTGCAGATTTAAGGAGACACATGGCTGAAAAGCCTTAACATTACTGTAAAGCAAATAGTTAAGGAGTGGCAATTTGATAGCCTGTGTAGTTTTATGTCTGTTCTGTGTTCATAGTGTACTTTATTGGGGCAGGGCAGCATTTTTATATAGCCAATTGAGAAATTTGACCTCCTGTCATGGGACCAAACTGCACTGGAATATTTTTACACATGGGAGCCTGAGTATTTAGCCTTTGACCCCATATAAAAAAAATTACTCTGTTCATGTTATCTGTCATCTATCATGTTGAGTATGCAAATTATGACTGGTAATGTTAAAGCCAAGGAATTGCTACCTCATGTATTATTTTATACTGTAGCTTGCAGTCTAACTGGTGTCTGTTCTTCTGCAGGTTGCTGTGTGACTGAGTGAGTTTCCATATGCCTCGACACTGACTTGCCCTGAGGTGCACTTAGATGCACATGCACAGACTTGCGCTGACAGACATATTTAACATAATCCAAATACTACATGTACACAACCTCCAACCACACTGACTAGCCACAACAAACATACTCTCAGAAATGGTCTGTAGCTTACCACAAACACAGCTACTGGAGCCCATAACATGCCTGTTGCCACGTCTTCTGCTCTTCATTGAATTTTCAGCTTGTGAGGAACACCACTGCTCTGCAGCTTAGCCACTGAGCTGTGCACACTGGTCACATAACAGCATGATGGCCACAGGGTGAAATGGATGGAATAAATTTTTCCCACATGAGTTTGGACACACGAATGTCATTTTAATGATAATTCCTGGCTTTTCCTCATTTTTTTTTTTTTTTTTTTTTGCAGTTCTTGGCTTTGAACCCAGAAAGCACTGACCAGAAGAGACTTTCTCATTAATCTTTCTGGATATGTCTGGGCTCCACATAGTACATTCTTACATGTACACGAAAATAGTTGCAATAAGTGATAGACATTGATATACAACCATCCAGCAACATAAATGGTTCCTCTGAAATCCAACCGGACTGTAATGGGAAGAGAAGCCGAGGACATGGAGGTTTCTGGCCTTCCGGAGAAGATAGACCTCAAGAAAGAAGCAGAAGAGAGTGAGAGTGAGGAGGAGGCTGAGGAGGAGGAGGGTAGGGCTGTGCAGATCCCTTTGCATCGCTGGGTAATGCATGGTGCAGTGATGTTTGGACGCGAGTTTTGCTATGCCATGGAAACAGCGCTGGTCACGCCAGTGCTGCTGCAGATTGGTAAGGAGACAATACAGTCACATTGAGACACACATTAATAAAACCCATATTACAACAACTTGCACAACCAGCAAGCACATTCCTGTCTAAATAATGTATAAATTGCTCATCTTATTCTAAGGTAGAAGATTTATTAGACCCTTCCCACCTATAATTCACAGTGGTATGGTAATAGCGTCTTCTTTCATTTTCTGTATAGAGTATAAGAATAATTGGGTTTGCTTTCTGGTGAAGCACATCACAGCTATCCAAAAAGAGCTGCATCCTAAATTCTAGTTATCACCAGCAGCGTTGTGGAATTGCATTGCATTAACCAGACTGGATCTATTGATTTCCCTGGCTACACCGCTGTATCATGAAACGTGTGTGGAGTAGCCAACTGGGGGCTATGTAGTTGGATATCAGCTTTGCCACCATAGCAGAAATGGAACAAAGGCATTTTCCTGGCTAGGTATGACAAGGATGTCTTACACAGCACATGAATGAATATCCACGAATAAACAAAACAGACCCATTTGTTAAAAAAAAACTGCTTCACTGTGCTACTAGAGGTCAAAAACTCCTTAGGGCACCTTTAAGTTTCCTTTAGCAAAACAGTGTGTGTGCAGCAATGGGAAACACAGACAAAAAAACAAGATATTTTTCCTACTGTGATAAAGCATCTGCTGTTTTGTTGACTTAAGACTGAGGGACGGCAGGAGCAGAGCAGAGCAGGGCAGAGGGGGTAACCTGTTCCTGTGAGAACCAGCCAGCTAACTGGATTTGAATCCATCAGATCTGTGTGTGGAAACTAAATTTATGCTTCTTTATATGGGGTGGAAAATGTGAATATTGTTACAGCATCAAGAGGCAGTTGTCTTTTTCCCTATAACATCATCGTCTCTCATTAATTTTATATACAGTATATGTGAGCCAACCTGTAATTGTCAAACCACATTAGTGCTGAAATGGCTTTAAGGATGAGAGTTTCAGTTCGCACTGGAGAATAGTTCTGTCTTAAGACAGCTAGAGGTGAATCCACCACTTTCCTGGCTGGTTGCTGCATATCTCTGTCTGTGTTGTTATAACAGGCCACTTCTGTATCTGAATGTTCCTGCTGCCTGCCTAAAACCCTTGGTAGTGGGAGCTGTTTATGGGCAAGACTGTTTGTTCAGCCTTGCACTGGTATGCAATAGCTGTCACGTGCTAAGCTTTTATAAAGCAGTGGAGCATAGGAAAATCTTTCACCTTTTTGTGTGTGGAGAAACAAAGAAGAAAGCTTCAATTATTCCAACAGGTTCCTGCATCACAAACGTGAATAAGATGGTTTAATGACAAGTTTTGTACCAAGATGAGTAATTAATTAAAGCTGACGTGTTAGCTCAACTTATCATTCTCTCATTCTGTTAAATAGTCAGACCTTCAAGACAGGGTTTGTGATACAACCACAAAGTAAAAAATTAACCTAAGTAAAAAATGCTTGACTTGTATGTAACATTTCTGTTGAGTTGTCCTTTTTGTGCTTAATGATTACTGCTTCATCACATGTTCTCTACTGTCTTTTATTTCATTTAACAGTAGCTTTGGAAATGCTAGAAAGAGTCAAGGCTGTAATCATTATATGCTATAATCAGATAATTATAGTGATAGCTGCTATAATGACAAGATTATTATAGAAACTTAGGCTTAATATTGTCAAATATAAAAAGGGAAAACAGGAGTATGAGGAGTAAAACATCACTTAGGATAAAGTAATGGTCCAGGTCCAGTCCCCTGCCCTGGAAAATAAGTACAGTATACTTCTCTTTGCTTTAATTTGATGTTATCTGAATAGGCCTACTATTTATGTTTTTAGGTCTTCCTGAGCAGTATTATAGTCTGACCTGGTTCCTCAGTCCCATTCTGGGTCTTCTCTTCACACCTGTGATTGGCTCAGCCAGTGACCGCTGCACTCTGCGGTGGGGCCGGAGAAGACCGTTCATTCTGGCCCTGTGTGTGGGTACACTGCTTGGAGTGGCGCTGTTTTTAAATGGCTCATTAATAGGCAAGTAGGAAGTTTCAAACCACTTACAAATGATAATAATGACAGTTTAACCTCATCTGTGTGTGTTTTGTGGTGTTCTGCCAGGCCTGTCCATCGGTGACAGCCCCGGCAGTCAGCCAATCGGCATTGTCCTTACAGTGGTAGGTGTGGTGGTGCTGGACTTCTGTGCTGACGCCTCCGAGGGACCAATCAGAGCTTACCTTCTTGATGTTGCTGACACTGAGGAGCAGGATATTTCCCTGAATATTCATGCCTTCTCTGCTGGTAAGATGTACTGTACACAGAGACCAGCCATGGAGACCTGAATAATGTAAATATCAGCTATTGTGGAAACATCTACAAGTAGTGCACACATATATATTCACACAGCCTACAAATTATTTCCAACACTTTTCTCATAAATAACAATAACTGATGTAATTTGTATCTGTGTCTACCTCTGTCTCTTTAGGGCTTGGTGGAGCAGTGGGCTACATGTTGGGTGGTCTAGACTGGACTGGCACAGCTCTGGGTCGAGCATTTAAATCACAGAACCAGGTCCTGTTCCTGTTTGCTGGAATCATCTTCATTATCTCTGTTACCTTGCACATGTTCAGCATCCCTGAGCAAAATCTCCCTCCATCCAACCAGTTCAAAGTCACAGGAGGTGAGGAGTCTACCAGCCAGTTGTCTTTCAGGCCTGTTGGCCACACGCCACTTTTACTTGATGTGATTGTGGAGGAGGATGCTTCTCCTCAAGCCCCATCCCGGGAGGACGACAAATCAGGTACTGAGGAAAGGGAAATGGACTTCCTTGCTATGGAGCGGGTGCGGAGTAAAAGTGATTCAGTCTTAGCCATGCCAGATGCTACGATTGAGTTGGATCCTGACCTCAACCCAGATGCACAGCTTTTCCTGCCAGAGGTGCATCACTTTTTACCAGCAGTGCAGGGAGAACTAGAAGATGCCTTCAAGCTATCAGAAAACAGTACTAGGTGCTCATCTCCTCCTGGCAGACTACCCACTCTTAGTGATGCGATGACTGTCTTAGAGCCTGTAAATCCAGTTTTGACTGAGCTTAAGGATCCAACAAACAGTCTTTATTTCCACCATCTCATCAGTTCTAACTCAGACAGCTCACATCTGAGACAGGTGATAATCACTTTGAGACCGTGAATCATTTTACTGCCTGCACATAAATAAATGTCATTAATATCCCATACCACACCATCAAATGATTACTTTCCCTATTATTTCAATAGGCAATATATGGGAGTCTTCAGGGACTGTTTCAGACATGTTGTCTCATGTCTTTTTCTCCTTCTGCCTTTAATATCTAGCTGTGCCTCCCTCTTGTCCCAACAGGTCAAAGCTGCCAATGGCGTCAGTGTTTGCTTGTCCTCTTCGGACCACTGCGATCCAGTGAAAGGCCACGCCTCCACTAAGTTTGGGATCTCCCCCCACAACACATCAGCTTCATCACACCCACGCCCACATACCTTCTACAGACAAGTAAGTTACATTTAACATTTTTTAATAACTTTCTGTAATGGGGTGGCGGTGGCTGTGGCTCACGAGGTAGGCAAGTCGTCTTCTGACCAGCAAGTTGGTGGTTCGACTCCCGGTCTCCCCACATGCCTAAGTGTCCCTGAGCAAGACACTGAACCCCGAATTGCTCCCGGTGGCTTGACTAGCACCGTTGTGCGGCAGCCTTGTCGTCATCAGTGTGTGAATGGTGTATGATCTCCCTGTAAAGCGCTTTGGCCAGTCTATTTACCATTTTAGCATTTAACGGTCAAAATGTGAAATGAAAATGTGACAAAATCTGGCTTTGGTCTTTTTTTCTCTTCAGCCCTCCTTTACATTTTCATACTACGGACGAGTGGGATCGCAGCGCTATCGACTGCGACGGACAGTAGCTTCGAGACTTAGGCCAGTCACCACTTCCCGCAGTCTGAATGATCTGAGTGACCTCCAGCGCCATGCAGACAGGCGGGAGTGGCGACTTTCACTTAGCAGTCTGTCACCTGAAGGCTCCAGCAGTGAGGGAGGTCCAGAGCAGGGCACAACTGTTCGATTGCTCTGGTTGTCCATGTTAAAGGTGAAGTAAACTGAGCATAGATTTTTTTTCAGTTTTACTAGTGCACTGCAACACATTTACAACATTTGCAAAACATCTGCTTTTGCAGATGTGGACATCGTTCTCTATTTTCACCTGCTAGTCTTGATTTCTTCCTTTTTTTGTGCCCCTTGACAGATGCCGAGGCAGCTGTGGAGACTGTGCCTGTGTCACCTCCTTACATGGTTCTCCATTATAGCTGAAGTGGTGTTTTATACCGACTTCATGGGGCAAGTCATTTTCCATGGAGACCCCACGGTACACCCATACACACTCACATAAATACATATGAAGCCATGACCAAAAATATCGGCACCCTAACATTTCTTTCAGATAACACACCACTCCTCCCAGAATATCGCTGCAATCACAAATTCTTTGGTATTCTCATGTTTATTTGCTTTGTTTGCATTGGAACTACACAAAAAAAGGAGAGAAAAAAGCCTAATCTGATCCATTCCACACAGAACTCCAAAAATGGACTGGAGAAAATTATTGACACCTTTTCAAAATCATCAGAAATAGTTTTATTTCCAGCCCATGTTGGTCCTTTAATCTGTAATGAAACTTGCCTGTAGCAGTCAACAGGTGCTGGCAATATAGAAATCACACTTGTAACTAGTTAAAATGGAGAAAAGTTGACTCAACCTTTGTGTCGTGTGGACCACACTGAGCATGGAGAAAAGAAAGAAGAGCAAAGAATTGTCTGAGGATCTAAGAACCACAATGGTGGAAAAACATGGTCAGTCACAGGACTCCAAGTCCATCTCCAGAGATCTGGCTGTTCCTGTGTCAACTGTGCACAACACTGTCAAGACGTTTACAGCCCATCGTGCTGTAGCTAATCTCCCTGGACGTGGACGAAAAAGAAAAATAGATGACAGATGACAATGAAGGATTGTTTGAATAGTGGATAAAGAACCTTGATCACCTTCCAAACAGATTCAAGCTGACCTGCAGCCACAGGGTGTAACAGTGTCAGCTCACACTATCCATCGCCATCTGAAAGATAAGGGACACTATGGTAGGAGACCCAGACGGCCCCACTGCTGACACAGAAACATAAAAAAGCCAGACTGGAGTTTGCCAAAGCTGCTTCAGGCTCTGGATGTCTTGACTATGTGCCTGGGATTATGAAATCTGAAGACTACCAATTAATTCTGGGGCCCAATGTAGGGCCCAGTGTCAGACAGGTGGGTCTCTGTCAGAGGTCATGGGTCATACAACAGGACAATGACCCAAAGTAAACTTCAAAACACACCAGAAATGGATTCAGACAATGAGTTAGAGAGTTGTGAAGCAGCCAGCAATGAGTCCAGGTCTAAATCCCATAGACCACCTGTGGAGAGATCTCAGAACAGCAGCTGGGAGAAGGAACCCTTCAAATCTGAGAGACCTGGAGCAAGTGGTCCAAAACTCCAGTAGAGAGGAGTAAGAAACTCACTGACGGTTACAGGAAGTGATTGATTTGTGGAATGGATCAGATTTGGCTTTTTTATCCTTTTTTGTGTTAATCCAATGCAAACAAAAGTAATAAACATGAGAATACCAAAGAATTTGTGATTGAACAATTTTCTGGGAGAAGCAGTGATTGAAATGCAGGTCTGTACACAATGTTTGTGGCCATGACCGTATAGTCTTATTGTTTAATGAAATCATAGTAGAGGAACTCAGAAACATAGACAGTGCAGACTACGCTGAGACAATTTATGCCATGTGTAAAGCCAGTTTGTCAAGTACCTAATAACCTTTGCTGCAGCTATTCCACTTTTTCTAGGCACCAACCAATTCTACAGAGCTACAAAATTATAACAGAGGAGTACAGATGGGCTGCTGGGGGCTGGTGGTTTACGCTGCTACTGCTGCTGTCTGCTCTGGTAAAACACATAGTTTCCATTTTTAGATTGAGATTCAGCTAACTACTGTATTAACACACAAAGCAAGTGGTGAGTAGTAAAATTATACTTCCCTCTTCCCAAAAGAGTAATTGATATTTTTCTCCACCCAGCCATCCTTCAGAAGTACCTGGATAATTTTGATTTGAGCATTAGGATCATCTACATCCTTGGAACGCTGGGATTCTCAATAGGTACAGTTCATTTGGGAGCAGATATATATGTAGGTATATAGCATACAGTGTAGCCTCAACAGAAGCTCAAGAAAAATCTTGTTAACGGCTTTTATTCCCCCTTCTCTTAGGAACTGCTGTAATGGCAATCTTCCCTAATGTTTATGTTGCCATGGTGATGATCAGTAGCATGGGCATCATCTCCATGAGCATCTCCTACTGTCCTTATGCGTTACTTGGGCAGTACCATGAAATCAAAGAGGTATGTACAGAAATAAACAGTCTACACATGTTCACACACTGTTCCTACCCGACAATGCACAATAATACTTAATAGGTAGTTTTCATGTATTGTTTTACTACTTCAGCAGGGGCTGTGCAATATAACAATTTTAAAATATGTGAGAATTTAAATAAGTTTAGCCTGGAGCCTCTTTGGCCTCTTTGGTCTGTTTTGTCTCATGGGCCAATTTCTGATTGTTGGAAAAAAAAAAGGCCTATATTGTTTTCATTTTTATTATTTGCTGGCTACTTGTCTGCTCCAAAGCATTTAAGGAAAGTATGAACTTATTCACCATGCAGTAAAGGGGATATTTTTTAGCCTTTTAGTTTACTGAAAGCCTAAAGCACTACATCATAAAAACCAGTTTATCGATAATATAAAGACATTTGTAGTTGTGGTTAAAGTCACTCCTCTCATGTTTCTTTCCACAGTATGTTCACCATAGTCCAGCAAACACTCGAAGAGGTTTTGGTATTGACTGTGCTATCTTAACCTGCCAGGTGAGCACTTAAACTTACTTCTTTTTTTTTTTTTTTTTTTTTTTTTTTTTTTTAGACACAAACTAAAATGTCCTATTCGCTCTAAATTTAAACTGACCCAGCAGCATCTCTGACCTTTAGCGATGATGCTATTGTGGTGTGTCAGAATATATTTTTCTCTATTTCCAGGTCTACATCAGCCAGATTTTGGTTGCATCAGTTCTGGGAGCTGTGGTGGAGGCAGTCGGCAGCGTGCAGGTCATTCCTGTAGTGGCCTCTGGGGGCTCCTTCCTCGGCTTCCTCGCTGCCTGTTTCTTTGTTATTTATCCAGAGTCAAGCAGCTCAGATCAGGACCAGAGCCTGGTGGATCTATCTGGAGATTCAGACCAGAATGGAAAACGGACCAGTGATCAGAGACTGGCTCTGTTTAACCTCACAGACAGAGATAGTTTGACCAGGACAGATGATCACTGTCTTGCCTCAGCATGAACACCTAAATAATGCTTCATAGTTGGTCCTCATCAAACACAAGGACTATATCAAATGCATCTGAATTACAGAATTGATGGTCTGTGCTTTTCTGTGGGAGGAATGATGATAAACGAGGAAAAACGTGGCAGAAAGTTGAGAGCCTATCTACAGAAGTCTAGAGCCTGGAGTAGAGGACTGATGAGGAGTGACAATCTCAGTTTGGGCCTGCTTTACTTGTTTTGTTGTGACCTTACTCCTATTTAGTGATGTGCGAATCGATCTTGAAATATCAGTACTTCCAATCCCATTGTTGCCTGTTCTAGGATCGATTCCTGTGTTAAAAGATTAATATCTAAAATAAATAGGCTAATTTGGGTTAGGTTAGGGGAAGTCGGGCTCTGTTGCCTATGGCAACGGAGTCCTATGCACTGGCCAATACGCCGCCCGGTGTGTTCAGCAAGCAAAGGTTGCTTGCTGGGCTTAGAAGGAGATTCTAAAGAATAAACTGCAAATTCATCAAGAAATTGAGATGGAGCGGGCTCACAGAGTCGGGAAACCTTCTGATCGTGGTCCGAGGGCGGTGATGGTAAAGTTGATGAAAGGGAGGCCAGGGTGAGAGGAGACATCGCGTTCCTGCGGTATGACCGACTAGTGACCCAACCTCGGAACCAGAATCCAGAACCCATGACCAGCACGCCGAGGACCAGTATGCCGAGACAGGGAGAGTATGAAGGGGTCGCTGGACCCTCAGATGTATGAAGAAATACGCTGGTATATTGATATCTGCGATGGCAGATGAGCGTTGGAACCAACAACAACAAGCATGACCCATGTACGGAAGGAGGCAAGTGATTTGTTACAGAAGTTAATAGTTTTTGAGGGACTGGATCTGGAACTGAACACAATTGGAAATACTGAAATTCATTATCATGAACCGGACGAAGATTTTGACCCTGAAAAAAACTTTTTTAAGAACTCAAAATAACTGCAACGGATGAGCAGTTTAACAGCAATGTCAAGACTGAAAACAAATTATCATTAATTCACTTTAATTGCAGAAGTTTATACGCAAACTTTCAGAGTATAAAACATTATCTCAGTAGTCTTACACATTCTTTTAATATAATTGCTATTTCTGAAACATGGATTAATAATGTAAGGGGAATGGATTTTGACCTTGATGGCTATGACTTGGTATGCACAAACAGAGAGAATAAGATGGGAGGTGGTGTGGCCTTGTACATAGATAAAAACCTTTGTTATAAGAAAGTGGAGAAAATGTCAAGGGTGGTGGATAATTTGCTGGAGTGTGTGACTGTAGAAATACTCGTGGAAAAAAAGAAAAATGTTGTAATAAGCTGTAT